AGGGGAAACCATATGACTTGCTGCTAGATGGCATCAAAATGATCATAATTTTTAATTTTTTCAACGTCACTGGCGAGGAAAACCGACATGGTTCACGCAGTGACATAGAAAATCTTAGAAAAATTGGCAACGAACGCAATTTCACTGTCGAAGTTTATGAAGACCTCGACAAGACGGACTTTGATAAAGAAATCAATCGTATACAAAAACACGAAAGACTCGAGAATACGTCGTTGTTGATGATCGTAGTCATGAGCCACGGAGATGGAAGAAATGCTTATTGTTTCCAGAGTTCAGACGGTGAGAGCGTCAGTATGGAAGAAGTCATTGCTCGTTTCAACGACTTGAACTGTCCTTCATTGAAGGGAAAACCTAAAATTATGGCCGGCGTCTTCTGTAGAAACATCGTGAACGCCGACTCCTCGTCTCGCGCTGAAGCAATTTCGGATAGTAATTTAAACGATACGGTTAAAATTTATTCGGCCAAGTATGGAGAGAAATCTTACAGACACGAAGATAATGGAACCTTTCTAGTGCAAGCTCTTAGCGCAGCTCTAGAGAAACACAGCTTCACTAGCTTACGTGAACTCTTGTCAACATTTCACAAGGGTTGGGAAGAACATTTGAATCCTGAAATTAAGTTCATAAACTTTAGGGATGTATATCTCTGCTAGAGAGTTTGACAACTAAATTTTTATTTATTATATGTTTTATATAAAAATATTTTATACAAAATAATATTCCAACGCATGTTTTTCGACTTCATTCACAATCAAACAGTTGATCTCATCTCCTATGCGTTGAATTTGATTAATGATTTGTCTCTTTTTCTACGTTTCGTGTTGTGGCAGAGTCGCTCTCAGTCGCGATGTTGCAATAGCGCATCATAACTGCTGGCGACCCACTCGCCATAACTATGGTACGGCGTGCTATTTCTTCAATATTTTCAACATATGGCATCATCTGAAGGAGAATGGTTCATGAGAAGGAATTTAGAATAAAATTATTGATGATTTTAAAGTTCTAATATTTTAATTCTTTATATCAGTAAAAATTATGCAGGTGCACATAACAGTTTAAAACAATTGTTCGGAATCTAAAATATTAACGCGATTGAATACAATAATTTTTAATGCAATATTCAGTGCAATTTCGTACAACAATATCGCCCCAATATATAATTTGAATATATTGTATTGATAACACGGAAATAATTAAGCGGTTTAGATAATCCTACAACCGCACCAAAGCCGATAGCCGTAATCAGGGAATACTTTAGTCTACACTAGAAACTATCATAGAAAATTCAACCACATATTCTTATGGATAACTATAAAATAATTCAGTTGACGAAGTATGTGTCAAGGCAGCTTACATTTGTTCAATTTTACTGTCGCTCCTCATCTCTGTAGCCGATTAATGAAATAATTAAATAATAAATTCAATAGATACTGAAGTTTGATTGAAAAAAATACGTTATTAATGCAATATAACAGTTTGTGTGCTTGCATGAGCGTTTTTACCTTTTGTTTTTATCACCCATGAAATAATTCAAGTAGATTTTATGAAGTTTGAGCAAATTCTTGTCATATAGCAAAATTAAATTTAAAATTTTACACTAAAAAAATTTATATGATACGAAATGTAGTTTAATTATGCTACAAAACATTAACTTGAGAACAAAAATGGATACAAAATTTTCCCAGAATAATCTTGCTCAAAAATTTGTCCGCCTCTCTAAAGGCGGTTGTTTTTAAAGGCTATAGTCTTACAAATATCAATCGATAATTGCATAAAAATTTTGGAGCCTCAGAGAGGTGCTAAGCTGTGATCACGAATGTATGTTGAGAGAAAATCAACGGCTACACTCCGCCTTCCTGTTCATGAATTATTATTGTTTGAATGGAGGGCAGTAATATTACTTTCAGCTATGCTTAAATGGCATGCAGTCATTACGCCAAATTAGAGGTTTCAGCCCCCCAACTTAGGGGTCTATTGAGTTTTTACAGCAATATCGGCGGTGAAGTATATATATCTTGACCAAGTTAGGCCTATCGTCGATTCTTGCAATTTTTTGTGACATGTTAATGTCAAACGGCCAGTTTTTCAATCTCCCGTGAGTAAGTTACAAAAAATTACAAAAATCAACGATAGATCGAACTTGGTCAAGATATATATACTTCAACGCCGCTATCGCTATAAAATGTCACCAGATCCCAAAGTAGGGTGGCTGGAACCTCTCTAATTTAGCCTAATGACAGCAAGTGATGCTTGGCATTTTGCGCGTTAACCGAAAAAATATAACTCAGTACTCACTGCAGTGAATGACAGAGAGCGTATTTTCTCGTCGACGAAAAACGTGAAGTCACGGACGGACAGACAGACAGACGGACGGACAGACGGACATGGCGAGCACAATAGTGCATTTTTTCATAAATGAAAAAATGCTCTAAAAATTACTGCCTCCTATCAACCATTAACAATTCATGGACAGGAATGAGGAATGTAACCGTTGTTGATCACTTAATTAACAAGGGCAGGGTGGCCCAGTGGTTAAAGTCCAGAGTACCAAGATTGGCGCAGAGAGGCGCGGGTTCGATCCCAGCTCTGTGCGCCAGTTTCTGGTCAGAATCGGCGAGGAGGCCGGGCGGTTAAGCACAGCAGAATTGTAGCAGTGAGTTGCGAGTTCGAGACCGCAACAAGCTGTGGATGTTCTGCGATGTTAAGAATCGGCGACAAGCCTACGACTAATAAATGCTGAAACTGCTATTATTAATAATATTATATTATTGTTATTACATGCATTCCTTGTCAGCGCTTATCACCTCTCAGAGGCTCCAGAATTCGTTGAATGTTTAACGTTCAATTGCCCTGGGCCACAGTCATCGGATGATACTCTCAACAAGAATCGTTCAGGAAAATCTAGGAATCAATTTTATTCTCAAATTACTTTTTTTGTAGCATTATCGAATGATATTTGGCTGGAAATAAATTTTTACAATATAAAATTTCACATTAAATATCGCTATATGATGAAAATTTGCTCAAATGTTTTAAAATCTAAATGAGTAATTTTATGGGTATTAGAACAAAAAGTAAATACGCTCATGCTAGCGAGTAAATTTCCTATTGTTTTAATAACGTGTTAATTCTACGCAAACTTCCATCACTATTAAATTCATTACTTTATTCGTCAGCTACGAAGATGGACGCAGAGTCTGAAATTGAACAAATGAAGGTTGCCGTGATATATACTTTTGCTAAACAAATTATTTTTTAGTTATCCATAGGAAGATGAAATTGAATTTTTTATGACTGTTTCGAGCATAGACTAAAGTATTCCCTGATCGCGGCTATTGGCATTGGGGCGGTTGTACGAATTTCTAAACCGCTTAATTATGTCTGCTATCAATAGAATATATTCAAATTATATATTTTCGGGCGATAATGTATGCAGGAAATTACAGTGAATATCGCATTAACAATTTATCACTTTCAATCGCGTTAATATTCAAGTTTTTTGTACAATTGTTTTCAACTGTTATGTGAACCTCCATAATTTTTACCTATTTACAGATTTAACTTGCCTACTCAGGGAGCGGGGCCAAGCAACCAGCCCAGCAAGGACGATCTTGCATATCTATATATATAAACTATCTAGGAAATAGTGACATATATATATAAACTGAAAAAACGGCGCTGCAACTTCTCCACGCGACAAAATTTTTTCTCGCTTCGAATCACCGACATGTGTGATGTGGAAGAGCCTCCCCGATGACATCGTTGGCGCTCCAAGTATGAACGCGTTCAAGAACAGACTAGATAAAGCTATGGAAAAATATATGTTCAGACTTGAAATGCCTAGATGGCGAGTGGGTCGCCAGCAGTTATGATGCGCTATTGCAACATCGCGACTGAGAGCGACTCTGCCACAACACGAAACGTAGAAAAAGAGACAAATAAAATTAATTCAACGCATAGGAGATGAGATCAACTGTTAGAATAGAAATGTCGGCATTGAAGAATAGGACCATGGCTGTTGAGTGAGAATTAAGTCGAAAAATTAGAGTTTTAAATTTTATTACTGGCATCCAAACTCCCCAATTTTGTTTACTCATTCATTCATGTTGATCAAATCTCCGAATTCGAATCTGGTCATGAAATGCCTGTTACCAGCCAGTCCATCATAAGACACAGTTGTCACTTGGCCACATATCAAGATTTAATGCCTGCTGAAACTACTGTCCGTTGTTAATCAGGCATCCCATTCTATTTTTTATAAGCGAGACATAATATTCACTAGACGTTATAGAAATTTGCGGGAAAGTACTAGACCTAAGTTAGCGTCTGGACAACAACACGGGACACATCACGCGATCAAGGCCTAAGTGGGCGGAAGCTCAAGTATTACCACCCCGTATACTGTACTGTAACTCGTGTATTACCACCCCGTATACTGTACTGTAACTCGTGTATTACCACCCCGTATACTGTACTGTAACTCGTGTATTACCACCCCGTATACTGTACCGTAACTCGCGTATTACTACCCCGTCTACTATGCTGTAACTCGCGTGGATCTAACCCGTATCGAGACAAATTCTCTATATTGTGTCTTTCTTATCCCACACGCACTTGGTCAGCGTATCACCGAAATCAGATAAGTCTGAAATAATAAGTCTGAAGGCGCACAATATAGCGCCTAACTAAAAATTACTGTATAATATAATTGTCAATAACAATAAAAACTTTTAGTTGTAGCCGTTAGCTATCACTGGCCAATAGAACTCTAATAGATAAATTCAGAACTTTTCCGGGTTGAGGTTTATTGAAGACGCGAAAACGGTGCAAGTTCATTCTGAATCAACAAAACATTGCTGTACGCAAATCTAATCGTGATGCGATTCAATAGCGAACGTTATAGAAAGTGAGCTATTGTATCATAAACGTACAAGACTAAGTCATGCCCATGTAGTCATCAAAGGGATTAAAATAACAGCTCAATCAAGTCGTTTAATGAGATCCGTATATAAACTCAATTCATGTCATACACAAAAGCTGTATCAGCTAACTAAAGATATCACTTATACATATCCGTGACTCGCATAATTTCAAAATAATCAATATTGCATATCCTTTTACTGTAAGTAAACAATGGAACGTAGGAAACATGTTTATCACTGGCCACCCCGCAGACGTAGCACCAAGTGGAGGGTAGACTCCTTCTGGATGTTGTAGTCGGACAGGGTGCGACCATCTTCCAACTGCTTGCCAGCAAAGATAAGACGCTGTTGATCGGGAGGGATTCCTTCCTTATCTTGAATTTTGGCCTTCACGTTCTCGATGGTATCGGAGGCCTCCACCTCCAGAGTGATGGTCTTGCCAGTCAGGGTCTTCACAAAGATCTGCATCGTCTGGAAAAGGAAGAGTTGATTACTACCTTGTTGAGCATGTCGAAAAACGCTGCATTTATATGCAATTTCTCCGTATCTGGACTACTCAGACTAACAGACCTGCATGTAATTAACAAGTATACCTACAGCAATATCTGATGACAGGAAGTGTGAACACATGAAAAAAGTTCAATGGAAATGTGCAGCTCCAAATCAGGTCTTTATTAATACATGATATACCTCGCAGCAACACAATTCTCGTCAACTGACAACAGAAAGATATTGAAAATATCTTTGCTTTAAAAAATGCCATAACAGCTCTAAGCTTATGGCGTCTCACCAATTTGAGAGTGAACTGTCTCGACTTCAGAAGAAATCTTTCAATACAAAAACTAAAGAATATTTATGGATTATTAACTACGTAGACAGTTGATGCAAATGTATTCTAAAAACAACAGAAATAAAATTCTGGCCACAATAATACAAACCAAACCAATATGGTTTAGATAAAATTTAACAGAAACCCAAGCACACGACAGCACCTCAGAGCACACGACAGCACCTCAGAGCACACAACAGCACCTCAGAGCACACAACAACAGCACCTCAGAGCACACAACAGCACCTCAGAGCACACAACAGCACCTCAGACAGCACCTCAGAGCACACAGCACACACAAGTTTGACGTCTTGTGTGATGGTTTATGAGCTGCATTGTCCCAAAGGATCAAACAGGACTAAACAATGTTGATCATTTGTGTATGCTGGTTTAGGCTCCGTAAAAAATGCTGCCTTATGAATAATGAAATAATGGTTTATTGACAAAATAATGGCTGGTTTGTAAAATAATGGCTTGTATGTACACTAATGGCTTATCAGTAATATGTACAATAAAGGCCAAATTTCTAATCTATCATGTATGACAATGCTGGTAACCATGACTTTACCAATCAGCATTATCCCATCAACTTCCTGAAAATCAGCAGTAAAAATTCATGCATGATATTCAAAATCATGCATTTTTCCCATCTTCACAATAGCCACATTTGGCATGGGCCAGCAAATGATTTAGTACAATTGTCTGCAGTCACAGGTATTTTGTCTGGTATACGAGTAGTTAGTACAATTATGGGGTTAAGGGCTCTACTGGCATCATAAGACTTGAAAAAATAACTTGACCAGAAAGTCTTTCTGGACCTCGTGCATTGAGGTAATATATTCAATCAGTGACAACTAATTAAAAGGATAACTTGCATGAAAGACAATTTTGTCTTTGCTAGGAATTTTGGTAGATTTGTTCCACGAGTAGCGTATGGCTATATATCTTGACTAGCTTTCCATGCCATTTTTCATGAATAACGAGATTCTCACTGGATGAACTACCTCCTATCTCAGTACGAGTAGGTTTGGCCCAAAACATAAATCAATTGAAATTCTTGGCCCTTTGGAGCCACAAGATTTTGATATGAAAATTAAAATCCCAATATGTTCAAGACCTTCAATATTTAGACCAAGCCTGGCAACTTTTTACGGTCTAATGAAAATTAATAAATTGCCTTGCTCTGGGTTCCAATGCAAAATTATGTCTATTCATAAATTGCCCTTGAATGAATCAGCCCTTACATTTTGTGTGAAAACATTAAAATGACATTTTAATTAGCTCAGGTATTCACCCAATCATTCATGTCCGAATCAACACCAAAACAATTCCCAGCTGCTACTCAAATTCATTACATTCCAAGTCACTTCAATGAACCTCATACAAACCCCCATACAAACCCTCATACAAACCCCCATACAAACCTGCATACAAACCTCGTACAAACCTCATACAAACCCCGTACAAACCCCGTACAAACCCTCATACAAACCCTCGTACAAACCTCATACAAACCTTGTACAAACCCTCGTACAAACCCTCATACAAACCTCGTACAAACCCTCGTACAAACCCTCGTACAAACCCTCGTACAAACCCTCGTACAAACCCTCGTACAAACCCTCGTACAAACCCTCATACAAACCCTTGTACAAACCCTTGTACAAACCCTCGTACAAACCCTCGTACAAACCCTCGTACAAACCCTCGTACAAACCCTCGTACAAACCTCGTACAAACCTCATACAAACCTCATACAAACCTCATAGTCATACAAACCTCATACAAACCTCATACAAACCTCATACAAACCTCATACAAACCCCCACCAGGGATTAGAGAAATGCCCATGTAATGAGACAATGTTACCTATTTCTATGGCCCTGACCTCATCCTTTTCTTGAAAAAACATTTTTATATCTTTATTTGAATGAATCTATTTCCACAGCAGCCATTTTATTTCAATTCTGTCAATATTCCAGATACCGAGTTATTTAGTAGCAGTTCCAGATTTCAATCTTCTATGTAATGACATTCATCACCTTTGACATTTTAGATTGAACCATAATACATAGCAGATTTAGTCTAAGACACAAGCGGGATCAGAATTTTCATGTTAGTTTCTGAAATCTCAGGGTTCCAACGTGACAAATTTTAAATACATTTGGAATCTTGTGGCCTGATTGTGCACTTTTTTGTTAACAATTAGGTAGTAGGTAATTCATCTGGTGGAAATCTAGCAGATCCAGAAATGGCAGGAAAGCTCTAGTCGCAGCCCTAACGGCAGATGTTTTCCACGCTTGCACACAAGGAGGCGCTGACCTCCCTACTTCACTTGAAGGACAGCTTCATTTCTTAACTCATGTTTGAAAATGAACAAGGTCATCCCTTATCAGCATGTCTAATCATAGTGTCAAGCAGGGTTTTTCAGACTTTCTTAAGTTCATTTTTCAGTCCTATAAGTAAACCAGCATAGTTTGTGGATACCAGAATTATCATACATAAGATTTTGGTTAAAATCAGTGGTTCCCAAAGTGGGTAACATCGCCCCCCTGGGGGCAGTGAGGCAGAAAGGGGCAGAAGGGGGTGGCAGTCCGCAAAGTCAGAGTCAGAAGTTAGTAGTTAGTACATTTGTTTAACGATTGGTACACAACACACGCAGAACATGACTCCCAATCAGATTATTTTCACAATCTAAAAATCACCATTTGGTAGCTGGGAATTTATATTCAAAATTTCATTCAAATCTGTTCAGTAGTTGGGAAAAAAATTCTTTGGTCACTGCAAATTTCAGCCCATATTGCCATATAGCTCCAGAATGAAGGTGAAATTTACAAATTTTTCACAAGCTAAACATCACTGTTAGGTCATAATGAATGTGTGTTCCAAGTTTTATCTAGCTGCATTCATTAGTTTGGGAGATTTTCATTAGTTTGGGGTCACTGATTTGGAGAATTGCCGTGAGACTGGCTGAGTCCGACTGTAAATTTGTCCGAGCAGTCTTGAATTTCTAGTGCTGAAACAGTTATAACTGTAAAATAATATATTGGTTTACTAAATTGGGTTCAATTTGTTAAATACACATTTGTGTTTAACCTATTTCTCAAAATTGCAGCATACTAAATATCAAGAAAGAGGGGTTTGTTTTTATATGTATCTGACAGGAAAGGGGGGTGCATGCCTGAAAAAGTTTGTGAACCACTGGTTTAAATCTTGAGTAGATGTGGAAATTAATAATGAACTGATTTTAAAAAAATCAGTTTCTCAAGACTTTCTTGAGAATCCTGAGTATCAATTTACCCTATCAAAACCCCATATACCCTAGACAACTTCAAACAATTTATTACAACAATAAACAATACAATAACAATTAAACAAACAAACAACAAACAAATAAACAAACAATAAATTAAACAATTTATTTATATTTGCAGCCATGAGCCATCTAGTTGCATCCTAGTGGCAAACCATAAATTTATTAGAATCTGTTCCTTTTTTGATATTCTCATTTATTCATGATTTAAACCATTATCTTAGATATGATAATGCTGGTATCCATAATTCTGTGCTGGTCTACTTATAGGAGTCAAAATTGAACTTGAAGAGTTTGAAAACTGTCAGCTTTGTAACTCTACTTTGAGCTGCATTCATAAAAAAATGCAGTTACTATCCCTAGACCAACTACCTAGATCTAATTATAAAATTATTTTAATTCCTCTATAGCAATACAAATTGAAGTACATTTTTATCTACACTTTGATCTCAATTAGTGAAACGGCTCAATTTCAACACATTGACGCTTGACGTCCATAGTAGCAAAGCAAAGAGTTTTATAGACTCTTCCTCAAGTTCATTTTTGAGTCCTATAAGTAGACCAGTAAAGTATCATGCATAGTGGCAAAGCAGAGAGTTTTTTAGACTCTCCCTCAAGTTCATTTTTGAGTCCTATAAGTAGACCAGTAAAGTATCATGGATACCAGTATTATCTTGCATAAGAAATTGGTTTAAATCTCGAGTAAATGAGGAAATTAAAAATGAACAGATTCTAAAAAATCTCTAATTGTCACTGTCAATCATTCTTTATTTATAATCATTATTTATTGATAATCATTCACATCTGTCAATCATTCTTTATTTATAGTCAGAAAAAATAGTCTGCAACCAAGTCATCACTCAACCCTGAACTGTCAGAGTCACTTGAAGAACCTTCTGCTAATAAGGCTGCTATTTGGTCATTAGTAAGTGAAGCTTTACATTTACTCATGGTACAGGCCAAATAATAATTGCATGATTTCTCAAAGATATTCTCAAAGCGTCAAGAGTGTTTCAGCGTTAAAGTGTTCAAGCCTCAAGGCATAAAATCTTTGTTTTTTCCAACTCATAAGTTCCTAACAAATGGAAATACAAAAAGGCAATGACTTCTCAAGTTCTTTGCAATTGCATAGTCAACTTATAGTGCACTTCTAGTTAAAAAAATGGAATCAAATAAAATTTTAATAATTTGTTCTTCATGCAATCTTTAAATCAAATTAAATATCTACAAAAATTTTACATTATGTAGCCTCTAAGTGTATACCTACATTAAAATAATTTATAAATTAAAATAATAATTTTGAATTTTTTAGCACAAATGGCATTTGCATTATGGCATAGGCTACCTACCTACATGTTACCTAGCTAACCTAGGTACCTCCTGGCTCCTGCAACTGAGTGAGGCACTTTTTCTTTGTCATGACTTGGTAAGGAAAAGGCTGATATAAAATGTGAAGAACGGATTTAAATTTAATAATTGCAACGACTTTACGTTTTTCAGCTTATGTGTCCTACTTGCTTACTATTTACTAAGCAAGGTGCAAGGACTGCAAGGTAGCTAGATCAACAAAATGTTATTCGCCATTTCGCCTCAATATGAACAAAAGTTACAAAAAGTTTTCCTGTTCAACTGATAACTCCTATGAAAATTTTATAGATGCTTCTCAAATCTCAATATATGAACTACTATCGTCTCAGTATCGTGCCACGTCATCATGTCTGACTGCTGCCGTGTTGCACGGCCCAACCCCATTTCAACACACGTCAAGTCTAGAAATATTCACCACGACCACGCTATGAGCAAAGACGTAACAAATAATAAACACCCAATGAGAATTAAAATCAGATGGCATTCAATTAAATATAATGTCTAACAAGATACTTACGATTCAAGCGCACAATTGTAGTTTCACAAAGAACGAGAGCGATGAACGAGGGTGTCTGACTTATCGGTGTAACAGTAACGTCACTATTGACGCTCGCTGCAGCTGGCGGAGCTTATATACTCAACCCGTTCTTTGTCAGTAAGATTGCTCCGCCGTAGAAACGAGTTCTAGAACCTTCTAGAATTATTCTGAGGTAATTTCCCGTAAGAATTAAAAAGATAGTGAAATCTATTTTATACCATCAGATAATCAATAAATCTGATTAAAGGGATACAATGTCATGATTATTTTCTTTCTTTGTTCGCTGTAAACTATATCACAAATTTTGTAATATATGATGATAAAAATTATTGTAGATTTACTAAAACTGCTCAAATTAACAGGTCCTTTGAAACCTATTCACTAGAAAATAGCAATAATTTCTTTATTTTAAGTCAGTGTTCCCAGCTCCGACAGCTGATTCGTCGAATAAAGAGACGAGGAAACGACGTAATCGATTCGATGATCTCATGCGAACTTTATTTAGGAATACGAGATGCATGGCCCACTGTTCCGTGGATTATTAAATTTGATACTAATGCATTGAATGAATTTAGCATTTTTCTAAAAACTTTTCAACATCGAGAGATGTTAAGTCGAGCCTGCTAGCTATTCCGAAACGTACAGTGAGCCTTGTAGAACGTTCAACTTAGTCCTGTTCCGTAGATTATTAAGTTTGATACTAATGCATTGAATGAATTTAGCATTTCTCTAAAAACTTTTCAACATCGAGAGAATGTTAAGTCGAGTCTGCTAGCTATTCCGTCATCAGGAAACGAACAGTGAGCCTTGAAGAACGTTCAACTTAGTCGACCGTGGTTTAGTGTGACTGAAATTTATTCTTTATGTAAGCTTCAAACATAAAAATTTATCGATAAATAGCATTTCAGGACTTATTTTAACCATAGCCTATTATGTGCAATTTTTTCGTTAAAATATATCGGTTTGATCAAGTTTCGCGTTCGCTTCAGTGTGAACGCAGCGTGAAGCCGTCAGCTGCACGCTGCCATGGCGGCCGACCGTCCCAGCTTCATTAGATTTTTTTTTACATTCCCATCTCCACTTGTAGGGCAACGCTCGGTGACCGAGAATGTGACTATTCTTAGGAACATTACATTATAAAACAAATTTTCATTTGTTTCAATGTAAGATTCAATGCAAAATTCAAGTTTTAATTCACTTGTAAAAAAATTATTTCTAATATATAGGAACCGATTAAATCTGTATTTTGATCACAGTTTAATATAGTTAAATGTCAAATATTTCTTACTAGGAATGGCGTGGCAGTAACGGGTTGAACGAAGCGCGTAGTAATATGTATATTGCGTCATAGTTGAGAGTGTATGCAGTGCATGCAGTAAACTGTATGAGAAACATAGTGCATTGATTTGGGAAAAATTGCGTATATAATGAATGTATTCAATACATTCAATATTCATTATGAGAGAAACCGTTTAAACACCGCTCGTATACAATCAATGCATGCAATATACGAACATCAAAACGACTGCCTGTCGTTTCATGATTCACATATATATTGTTGGCTGTCATACAAATCTCTTGATTTCATTTCAATATTTTTCCACTGCAATTATCAATTATTTTTCCGCTGCATTTTTTAGCAATTTTCTTACACGTCGCCTATAAATGTCGATCCGCTCTCAGCCTCTCAGGTAGGAATAGCATAACATAGTCGCGCCTAAGGCTGCAATATGACAATGTATTAAAATACAAACACACATACGCCTACGTACCATACGTACGTACCATACGTGGGCATTACACGTATTTATTACAGATAAGTGATAATCACTATCAGCACGCATGATTGAAGGCCATGGCCATTTCAAAGCTTTAAGATTCTAGAGCTTCTAGGCGCTTCTAGCCTCACTCTAAACTAAAGCTTCTAGGAAAACTACGCATCAAGGCATAACGCCTATGATGAAAATTCTAGGCACGATATTAGTGAGCGAAAATGTTTGCCGTAGCTCGCGACGTGCTACCGCCATTGTTGTTGTCTTCTTTGTTGCTGCATCGATCTACAAACACACTTCCGCGTAGGAAACAAAAAAAGAAAAACAATTTACATTGAACTGTAACAAAATATATTATAATTCTGCTACCTGATAGTTAATTCCAGAAATCAATTTATACTAATTGTGCGCTTCTATTTATGATACTAAATAAAATGTCATAAGTACTCAGGCCCAGTAGTGCATTCAGTATTCAATTTATAATATTACTGCTACCGTAGTACGAACAACAATTCTCAGTGGCTGTTTAGAGACTTAACAATTAACTATTTAGATAAGAACCCGAATGACCTTCTTTGCCTTGGACTAAGTCTAAATTTAGAAGCATCTTGGGGAGGCTTGTCTTTTACCTCTACTTACGAGCTCAACAATACTGACCCAGCTATAATTAAAAATCTGTGCCAGACAGTCGAATGGTCCTAATTTACACAAGTATTCACGAATCGAGGCTAGCCATTTGCCTTCTCTTCTTATCTTCTTGATCAATGTTCTCCATAGCAACAGGTTGGAACTTGAGATTGATATTTCAAATAAAACCTGCATACGTAAAAATCATTCTTTTCCCTAATTGAGAGCGCATTGGCAGTAATTTGCCGTATATAGTAAAACAAAGGGCCTTGAACCATTAAATTTTTTTAATATAATCTTAATATGATGCAGACACTCCCTTTTCCTCCAACCAGTAGTGTATTACTCCGCGGCTTACGTCATAGAATTCTCGGACTTTGATTGGCTGAAATTCTTCCTATTTCATGACGTGTTATGACGCTCGGGGAGATGTCTTCTTCTGTATTGGCCAATATTGATAACTTTTGACGTCACAGAGAGGAAAATTCCATGATATAATACAATTTCTTACACGGACTGGTAAAATTCTGAGATGCACAAAACGCTTGCTGTCTCTATATTCTTTATATTCCATTATAGTAATGTGTACATGACCGTAAACCAATAGAGATTGCTTGCACTGTGGTTGCGAAGCGTTTTGAAAGTAACTCTTTCTGACCGATTCGACACTTCAGCGAACTCGCGTGCGAACTCGCCTGCGAGCTCGAACTTCATTTTCAACTCTGGCACTCATAACTCCTTCACTTATGAACGGATTTTATTCAAATTTGAAATATAAGTAGATAATATCAGTACGCTGCGGAGAGTATTTTTTTCAAATTTTTTCAGCGATAATTTTTTTTAATACGGAAAACCTAACTTAATTTTCAACTCTGGCACGCATAACTCCGTCAATAATGGACGGATTTTCTTCAAATTTAAAATATAAGTAGATAATATGAGTACGCTGCGGAGTGGGAGGTCAACTCGTCTACTGGGCCCTCCTCCTGGACTGCTTAAGTGGGTCACCCCCTCACCCAGTCACCCACTGAAAGTGGGTCTGAAAGCTACCCGCCGTTGCAATTTTTTGCGTACGGAATCATGGTCATAGCCAATCAATATTTATATCGGCCAATCATAGTGCAAATCTTCCATTTTGCCATTCATGTTTTCATTCGAATGATTCATTTGTTAGCAGTTTCCGCAGTTCGCGATTTGATGATAAAATAAAGAAGTCTGTGTCGAAATTCGTTTTCTATCAGCCCTGAATATTCTCTCAGTGAAAATTAAAGGTACCACTGAATTACTTGCAAATTCGATATGGAAACTTTGATTTTTTCGATTAAAATTGATAAATTACATTGGAAGTTTGATTTTTCGTCCGAAATATTGATTTTTGTTTCTATTCTTTGAATAAATATATTCAAAATATTGGTTTTAGATTTAATCGTCGTGCTTTATTCGCACCAACAATCCACTACACTCGTGGGGCGTGGCTATCACTCCTACACGGGTGGAGTTATACTAAGTCTTGGACAATTTTACGGCCGGTCTCTAAAACTTTCGCCGGTCTCCACAATTTTACGGCCGGTCTCCAAGAAATATCTCCCCTACTAACGAACGCAGCTCAATGTAACTTAGTACACGTATTCATTAAGACCTAACGGTGATGTTTAGCTCGTGATTTTTTTTCAATTACTCCTTTGTTTGCGAGTTATACGGCAATACGTTACATCCACTGTTGAACGTATGAATAAACATTTATATGAATAATTCGATCTTCGAGGTTTGAATTATCTGAATTCGAATAATTGAGATAATTAAAGTGTAAATTTCTGTGTTTTACTTTTGCTTCACGAGCTTAACATCACCGTTGAGAGGTTAGGAATGTAAATTTAAAATCTTGTTAAAATACGTCCTTTAGTTTGAAAGAGATGTCTTGGTCACTACGAATTTCGGCCCGTTTCACCGTATAACTCATGAATGAAGGTAAAATGTGAATAGTTTTCACTAGCTAAACTTCACCATTAGGTCCTAGTTAATACATGTATAGTTACATTGAACTCTTTTCATTACTTTATGAGATATTTCTTGATCACTAAGTTCGGAGACCGGCCGGAATATTGTCTGACACCTCAAGCGGATTAGGGATTACATTTTTTTATCGTTACTGAAAAAAGTAGAAAAAAATACTTTCAAAACTTGATGCGATAGGATTCATTGTGGATTAAAACGATATTTACTGTGAAATTTTATGGCAGGGCTTTAGTAACTTCGTCAGGACGCTGGGTGGCCCGGTGGTTACAGTTCGCTGTAACAAAATTTGAGGAGTGAGTTGTTGGTTCGATCCCAGCTACCTGCTACAGTTCTGGCCGAGCGGTTAAGCGCAGTAAAATGTGAGCAACAAGTTGCGTGTTCGAGACCCGCAACAAGGTGTGAATGATGAAGTGATGTACCTACGTTAGTGACGGGTGGTGAGGGAAGTAATGAACCAACGCTAGTGACGGGAGGTGAGGGAGGTTATGAACCAACACTAGTGACGGGAGGTGAGGGAGGTAATGAACCAACGCTAGTGACGGGAGGTGGGGGAGGTAATGAACCAACGCTAGTGACGGGAGGTGAGGGAGGTAATGAACCAACGCTAGTGACGGGAGGTGGGGGAGGTAATGAACCAAC